GGAGGCTGTGATATGTGTTATATGCCCCCCCCCCTTTTTTCTTAAACGCCTGAGTAATGTAAACAACAGGAAGCCCTGGCTGGTGTGGCTCAGTGGGTGGAGCATCATCTCATACAGGGAACGGTGGTGGGCTCCGCTCCCGGCCGGGGCACATGCCCAGGTTTCGGGTTCAGTCCCTGATGGGAGGCAACCGATCAATGTTTCTCTCACATTGATGTTTCTCTCTCTCCCTCCCTCCCTCCCTTTCTCTTTCTAAAATCAATTTAAAAAACAACAATAACCCATGGACACAGATAGTAGGGCGGTGAGAGCCTGGGTGGAGGGTGGGAGGGCTAGAAGAGGTCAGTGGGGGAAGGGGGCATATGTAACACTTTCAACAATAAGGATTTTTATTTTTTATTTATTTAATATATTTTATTGATTTTTACAGAGAGGAAGGGAGAGGGACAGAGAGTTAGAAACATCGATCAGAGAGAAACATCGATCAGCTGCCTCCTGCACACCCCCAACTGGGGATGTGCCCGCAACCAAGGTACATGCCTTTGACTGGAACCGAACCCGGGACCCTTCAGTCCGCAGGCCAATGCTCTATCCACTGAGCCAAACCGGTTAGGGCAACAATAAAGGTTTTTTAAAACACGATATGAATATTGCAGGATGGGGAGACAGTTTTTGACTAACATTCAAATGTTCAGATAGCAAATGCAGCCAAATGCAGATGATGGCTATTTGGGTCCACAGAATCTTTCTCATCCATCCACGTGACGGCCAGACGTCTCCTAGATTGGAATAATACTGTATACTTTATTGCTCACCTCTGAACTTGAGTATAAAAATCAATTGTTGTTACTTAGTAATTCTCAAGAGTCAATTATTAATGAAAAAAATTGAGTAATTCTGAAGGGACAAATTACTCATGTCTTTTGGGGCATGCGCGCGTGCACGCACACATACAACTCCTCAAAACTATGCTGTTCGCCCTAGCTGGTGTGGCTCAGTGGATAGAGCGTCAGCCTGCGGACTGAGGGGTCCCAGGCTCAATTCCAGTCAGGGCACATGCCCAGGTTGCATGCTCGATCCCCAGTGGGGGGCGTGCAGGAGGCAGCCGATCAATGATTCTCTCTCATCATTGATGTTTCTATCTCTCCCTCTCCCTTCCTCTCTGAAATAATAAAAGTATCTTTAAAAAAAAACAAACTAAGTCGGTTGGCCCTGGCCGGTGTGCTCAGTGGTTAGAGCGCCAGCCTGCAGACTTCAGGGCCCCAGGTTCGGTTCAGGTCGAGGGCACGTACCTCGTTTGCAGGCTCGATCCCCAGTCGGGGCCATGCAGCAGGCAGCCAATCAGTGGTGTCCCTCTCTCACTGATGTTTCTGTCTCTCTCCCCTCCTCTCTCTAAAAACAAAGTCAATAAAAATGTATTAAACACACACACACACACACACACACACACACACACAGACAGACACAACAACTCTGCAGCTGGCATTGCAGCCACGGTCTTGGTTGCCGGGGGCGACGCCAGACAGCTCCGCTGCATGGGTTTCTCTGCCAGCCCCCCTGTGCCTGCCCCCCACAGCCATGGCTCTTAGGGATCCAGCATTAACTTGACTATTTTTTCTCCGAAAGACAATAATCTAAATAGTATGTATCGGGATGCATCCCAGAGAGCATCACTTGCTGGAAAGGACTGTAGAAGCCACGTAAAGTGTTTGTCAATAACAGATCCGATCGACGGTTTCAGGGTATTTTCTGTGGGTTCAAAGGTAGAACATTGACTTAAGGTGACAGAAACGGGGACTTCTGCGATGATCATGTGGGAAATCTCTGTACCTGCTCAGTTCTGCCCTGAACCTAAAGCTGCTTTAAAAAATAAAGTCTTTTTTTTTAAAACTCAAAGTCGGGGTTTTCCACTCATCTGTGCAGTTACCTGTCTGCCTCAGCATCCAGTTTAATGTGACGTTTTCTGTGGTTGTGTAGGATCGAGGGTGTCCTAGACTGTATAGTTAATTAGCTACGGATGTACTAGTCTTTGGACAGATCTTCTTGCAGAATACTCTTCAATGACACTCATCCAGAAAAGCAACAGAAATAGTAGAAAATAATTGTCTCAGAGATGCATCCCCCGGTATTTCATAGCAGCCGGGGTTCCTCACCTCAAACAAGAATGGGCAGAACTTGAGGTCGGGGCCCAGCTGTCACCGCGGCGGCATCGGGAATGCCGTGGTCTCCTCGCTCACTTCTTGTTAAAATTAGAAGGTGGTCCCCGGGTGCAAGCGAGCGGCAGGTGGCTCCCGGGTTTCTGTAGTCGGAGCAGCAGTTTCGCTGCTGCCCCCCAACCTCTAGGGGCAACTACACTTTACTGGTTTTAGCTTCTTGTTCAGATGCTTACCTAAATATTAAACAATCTGCTATTTCTTTTAAAAAATATATATTTTTATTGGTTTCAGAGAGGAAGGGAGAGGGAGTAAGAGAGAGAAACATCAATGATGAGAGAGAATCCTGGATTGGCTGCCTCCTGCACACCCCCTACTGGGGATGGAGCCCGCAACCCGGGCCTGTGCCCTGACCAGGAATTGAACCCTGACCTCCTGGTTCCTAGGTCGACGCTCAACCACTGAGCCACGCGGCCGGGCTGTTGCCTCAGTTTATGCTGGAGTGGCCAAAGTGGGGTGGAGAGGACACCAGGAGAACATTATACGTGCGCTGTCTGTGTCTAACATTTGTTTTCATTATTATTTTGTTTGTTTTTTGGATATTTAAAAAAATTTTTATTTTTCAATTACCGTTGACATTTGTGATTTTGTATTAGCTTCAGGTGCTCAGCATATATTTTACAAAGTGACCCCCATCCGATACTTTCAGTCCCCTTGATACCATACATAGTTACTATTGGTTGTTTACTTTAAACCCTTTGTTTGAATCACGCCCTGTCCCCAGGTATGGGCCTGCTTTCCCCTTGTGCACGGCCCGGCCTCTGTGGCCCCGTGCCGCCCGTCGGTGTGCGGAGGAGCGGCTGTGAGCTGACCCTCTCCTCTCTTGCAGGAGTACATCAAGGGCGTCTGCGAGCCGGAGCTGGAGGAGCGCGAGCACTACCCCAAGGCCATGCACTGCATCTTCGTGGGCGCGCAGGGCCTGTTCCTCAAGAGCCTGATCCAGGACACCTGCGCCGACCTCTGCGTGCTGGACGTGGGGCTGCTGGGCATCCGCGGCAGCGCCGAGGCCGTGGTCATGGCCCGCAGCCACGTCCAGCAGTTCGTGAAGCTCTTCGAGAGCCGCGAGAGCCTGCCCGGCTGCCAGAAGGAGTCGGAGGTGAAGAGGGAGTTCCGGCAGGTGGTGGAGGCGCGCGCCGACAACTACACCATGGACTTGCTGATCCTGCCCACGCCCCTGAAGAAGGAGCTGCTGGCGCTCACGCTGGGGGAGGACACCCTGTTTGAGGCGGGAGACGATGACGTCATTGAGGTCCGAGAGCCTGAACCGACGGCGGGCGCACCCAGCGCGGCCACGGGGCTGAGCGTGGACGGGGCGGCTCTGCGGGAGGAGGCGAGAAGCGGGGCCGGGACCCCCGTTTCCGAGCTCACGAAACAAATGGACTCCGTGTTCTCTAGCGCCCAAGACGCGCTCTTCCCTCCCGTCAACGGCCTGGCCCCCGAGGACGAGCCGGGCCGGGGCAGGGCTTGCCACAAGAGGCGGTCCTCCGACTCCGAGGAGCGGCACACCAAGAAGCAGTTTTCCCTGGAAAGCGTGGAGGGGGCCGAGCCGGCGCCGGACGCGAAGCCGGCCGCTGCAGCTGTCCTCGCCGACCTGTCCGAGGCGCCCGGCGAGCCGGACGGGTTAAGCCCAGACGGGAAAGACACCACCGAGGAGATGGAGCACAACATCCTGGTGAACTTCTTCAAGACCATGGGCTACTCGCAGGATATCGTGGAGAAGGTCATCCGGGAGTACGGGCCGACCGCCGAGCCCCTGCTGCTGCTGGAGGAAATCGAGAAGGAGAACCGGCGGAGCCAGGAGGAGCGGGAGTCTGCGCCCGAGACCAGCAGAGCCAAACACAAGGGAGTTTGTAGCAGCACCAACGAGTTCACCGTGGATTCCACCCCAAAGAAAGTGCAAGCTCACGCACAGCAAAATACGGTGAAGAAATTTTCTCCGCTACCGTTCAAAGTGGAATCAAAACCGTGTACCTCAAACTGCAGAATGAACGCTTACAAAACAGGGCCGATGGAGCAGAGGCCGGAGCCCTGGGGGCCGCACCCCAACTACGGCGGGAACATGGACCTGGAAATCGATGGCTTTGCCCCCTCCGTCGCCCCCTCCAGCCCCAGTTTTGTTTCGAGGGGAGTGTCAGGTCACCAGCCCAGGATTCCGGTTTTCCCCGAGAATGGGGTGCAGCCGCACGGAGAGGCCCTGCTCCCCAACCATCTCAAGTCGGCCTGTGAGAGCCGGGCCGGCTGCCTCGGCTCCCCGCAGTCCAGGCCGAACTGCCAGCCCCTCCCGGCCACGCCGCTGCCCCCGCTGGGGCTCTCGGCCGGGTTCTCCGATCACATCGACTCCTCCGTGACGGGGGTGCAGAGGTTCCGAGACACCCTGAAGGTGCCCTACAAGCTGGAGCTGAAGAACGAGCCGGGGAGGACGGACCTGAAGCACATCGTCATCGACGGGAGCAACGTCGCCATCACGTAAGTCCACGCGGCCGCGCACACTGGTTCCCAGCAGCACCCCAAGCAGCACCCCAGGATTGCGTGTGTTGGGGGGACGGTCCTGTGTGTGTCTAGTCGGTCTGGGCTTCCCTGCAGGGAGCAGCTGGGTGGGAAGCCTTGCTGTTCCACCTTCTAGAGCCATCGCTTGGTCCACCTGCGGGCCTTGCATTTCGGGGGCAGGAGATGATGGAAAGGGTGTCTTTTCACATCGCTTTGCCCGGTGATAAGCAGCGCGGAGACTTTTAATGAGTAGTGTTTTAAAGAATGTATTTTTATTGATTTCAGAGAGGAAGGAAGAGGAAGAGAGAGATAGAAACATCAATAATGAGAGAGAATCATGGATCGGCTGCCTCCTGCAGGCCCCCACCTGGGGATGGAGCCTGCAACCCGGGCCTGTGCCCTGACTGGGAATCGAACCGTGACCTCCTGGTTCATAGGTCGACGCTCAACCACTGAGCAACCCTGCCAGGCTCACATGTGTCATTTCATCCACAATTATTTTAGTATCTATTTTTTAAAGTAAGAGGATTCTTTTTATTTTTTTTTGAATGAATTATTGATTCTGTCCTTTGCTGTCAAAAAAAAAAAAAAAAAAGGAAAGAAGAAAGAAAGAGCCAGCCTCGCACTCACAGCTTGAGGAGAGGCAGTAAAAAGATGCATGAACGTGTCTGATTCCAAACAGTGTGTTTGCTGGCCTTTGCTGTGCTGTCGGCAGTTCCTCCGGGGAAGCCCAGCGAATGGCCACAGCCGCCGCGTTATCTGAGGAAAGTGTAAGTGCGCTGCAGTCACAGCCCGCCAGCACCAGTTCCTCATTGTCACAATGTTTGCAGCCAAATGATGATATAAAGTGTAGGTCACGATTGTGAGTAACATTAATCCTTGGTCGTTTTTCTGTATGTGGAAAGATTTCCCAGATTGCTGTTCAAAGAATAAGAAATGCAAATTAACCTAGGATAAGTGTTGATAACGACACTTTGTATGTGTGTGTGTGTGTGTGTGTGTGTGTTATTGATTTCAGAGAGGAAGGGAGACGGGGAGAGAGATAGAAACATCAATGATGAGAGAGTATGATTGATCGGCTGCCTCCTGCACACCCCCTTACTGGGGATCAAGCCCGCAACCTGGACATGTGCAGTTTACCAGAACCGAACCTGGGACCCTTCAGTCCACAGGCCGGTGCTCTATCCATTGAGCCACACCAGCCAGCGCAATTATGACACGTCCCTTAAAACCTATTTGGAGTAGTAGTGCATCTCTCAGAGGGGCTGTTGGGGCTCGGAGCTGTGTGTGTATCCAAGACAGGGCGATTTGCATATCTGGCCCCTCCCACTGTGGCCAGAATGCCCCCCCTCTGCTCCCATCATGTGACAGCCCAACACGCTCCCAGGGTTTCCCTAACACCCTGGGGTGCCCTCCTGCCCTTGAAAACCTCTGAATCAGTGCTCTCAGGGAAACCACAAGCTGACTTCTGCGAATTTTTAAAAAACTGATAGTTTTGGGAGGGTTTCCATTTTCTCTGAATTCACAAGATGTCTCAGCTTTAAAGCACCATTTTCACAAAGAAGACAGACTTACAGCTTGATGTAGGTGGATTTGAAACTATCAGTAATTAAAATTAACTTATTCTGGAGAGAAACGGCTTAACGGGTGGAAATGTTTTGGAACAAGATAGAAGCGGTGGTTGTGTCCTAAACACCACGGAATTGTTCACTTTAAAATGATGGTTTTTTGTTGATTATCTCACCTACATTTTTTAGGCGTTGGGAAAACATTCACCCTTATTCTAAATTAACTGCTTCGATGTGAAACGTGAACTATAGACTCCGAGTTCCATGAAGAAAGCGGCCGTGTCTGGTCTGTTCTCCGAACGCCCCCCAAGGTCATGGTGCCTGGCACCTGACGCTCAGTCACAGGAAGAATGAATGAGAGCGGAGGTTGCTAAAGATGAGGCTTCTAGGCCCTGGCGGGTGTGGCTCCGTTGGTTAGAGCATCATCCTGATACGCCAAGGCTGTGGGTTTGATCCCCGGTCAGGCCACATACAAGAATCCACCGAGGAATGCGTAGCTAAGTGGAACAACAATTCCTCTCTCTTCCTCTCTCTCTAAAATCAGTTTGTTTTTTAAGAAGGAAAAGATTAGGACTTTTTAAATGACTTTTCACCACCCATTTATAACTTGCAATTCCAGTTGCTATTTCAATAATCAATTTAGGTTAAACTTGAGGCCATATATTTAATTTAACAAGTATTTGGAATCTTAAAGCTGAAACTGATATGTGTTAGGTACTATAATTTATATATATATATATATTTTTTAAGTTTTTATGGATTGTAGTTGTCGAGAGAGAGGAAGGGGGAGGGAGAGAGGGAAACATCGGTAGAACCTGCGACCTGGGCCTATGCCCTGGCTGGGAATCAGACCGGCGACCCCTCGGTGCCTGGGATGATGCTCAACCAGCTGAGCCGCACCGACCAGGGCATGACTTCATCTTTCTTTTTTTTTTTTTTAATTTATTGATTTTTTACAGAGAGGAAGGGAGAGGGATAGAGAGTTAGAAACATCAATGAGAGAGAAATCGATCAGCCGCCCCCTGCACACCTCCCACTGGGGACGTGCCCGCAACCCAGGTACATGCCCTTGACCGGAATCGAACCTGGGACCCTTGAGTCCACAGGCTGACGCTCTATCCACTGAGCCAAACCGGTTAGGGCTGTACTTCGTCTTTCAAAACAAACTTCACACCCGCTCTGTGAGGTAAAGATTATCTGGAATTTACACAACATAAAGTGGCCTGGAAATCTTGTCCAAGATAACACAGGCATGTGATGCGGCCCCGAGGGTCCCTTCCCTCCGGACACCCTGCCTCTGCCCGTAGAAATGGAGGCGGGACTCGGGGGCCTGGGCAACGTTGGATGCTCACGTTGATAATGATGCTCATGCTTACGCCCTGCCGAGCGCACCTCACTCCTTCCACCCCGCCCGTCGGGGACCTCGTGCACCAGGAAATCTGGGTCCTTAGCAACAGGGTCTTGGGACCCCACCGGTCGCCGGGCTTCTGCCCGCAGGTCATGCCCCGTGAGAAATTCCCAGCACCCTCCGGGCTGCGGGTGACACAGATCTGTACCTGGTTTTTCCCCTTGGCCACCGTGAGTGACTCAGGATGAGTCAATGGAAATGGCTGCGGTGAGTCCCCGGCATCGAGTGGGGCCGGCGCTGCTCTGTGGGCCCCGCGTGCGAGCACCTGACTCCTGGGCGGGTTTTCCTCGGAGCTGAGGCCGCCCCCGCTGGCCGAGCTGTGTGACCCTGTCCATGCTGGTCGCCCCACGGCAGGTCCCGGCTCTTTGCTAAGCGGAGCCACAGACAGAAGCGGCTCTCTCCGAGGCCACTGGGAGAGGTTTCACTTTCCCCGCTGATGCCATCGGTTCCTTGTTGTTGTGTTTGGTAATCCTGACCCCAGGATATCTTTCCCGTTGATTTTTTTTTTTAAGAGGGAGAGAGAGTGGAAGGGAGGGGGAGGGACAGCGAGAGAGAAACATCGATGTGAGAGAGACACATCGATTGGTTGCCTCCCACACACGCCCAACTGGGGGGCCGGGGATGGCGCCTGAAGCCGAGGGGCACGCCCTTGACCCGAATCGAGCCCCAGACCCTCCCATCTGCCGGCCGACGCTCTAACCACTGAGCACACTGGCCGGGGCCCTTGCCATCCATTTTCATCCCCCATCACCCACCTCCTTCCTGCGTTGGACACTTCCTGCTGGCTGGCTGTGACAGTGTGGGGACCACCAGATGAGACGTAGCTCGTTTCCAGGGAGGCGGCAGCCGGGCCCTGAGCCTCCCCTGCAAGCCCGCACACCTGCCCGGGCCGGTGCCCACTCATTTTGCGTTTGGCACTGTGAGCCCTGAGCGTCGCCTGCTCCGCGGTCAGAGAGGGTCGCTGTGCCCAGGCGCCTTGTCTGGGTCGGCGTGGACAGCTGGTCCGGGTGCACCTGTCCCCAGGCTCCGGGTGGCTGGCAGGCGGGCCCGGAGGCAGCGAGGGCAGCACAGTGCTGCCTGGGGGGCGGGGGGGAGTGGAGGGGAGGCGGGAAGGACCCGCTGTATTGCTTGGAGGACGGTAGTGTGGGCACTCCCCTTTCTCCCGTAGTTTTGTTTTCGGGTAAATCTGTGTGTTCTCCGCCAAATGTTTCAGGTGACCACAGGTGGTGTGATCTCGTCACTGAGGGTGACGTTTTGGAATTAGTTTAGAGCTAGTGTTTCTAGAACTGCCTCCAAGCTCCCCTCTGAGCCGTGAGGGGCCCGGGGCGGCAGAATGCCATCTGATTGTGTCTCCGGCCGTTTCCTCGGTGCCCCGTGGGGTGGGGTGGGCTGGGTCCCCTCCCTCCGGGGTCCCCGCTGTTGTCAGGAGCGTTAGAGGCGAGGAGGGAAGGGCTCCACAGGCCTGTGCCCGCGCAGTGAGCTAGGGAGGCCCTTTGCAGCCTTTGTCAGTGCCTTTCTCTAAGGTGCTGTGTCTTCCCCGGGGCCCACCTGTACCTGGTTCTGAGGAAAACCAAGGGGTCCACGCAGCTGTGCTTTGTTCTGGCTGCGGTTGCCATCAGCTCTGGCCTTCCTGGCTGATAAGCGACTGGGATGATATATTCTTCTTCTTTTTTTTTTTCCAGAGAGGAAGGGAGAGGGAGAGAGAGAGAAACATCAACGATGAGAGAGAATCATGGATCGGCTGCCTCCTGCATGCCCCCACCTGGGGATGGAGCCCACAACCCGGGCCTGTGCCCTGACCTGGAATCGAACTGTGACCTCCTGGTTCCTAGGTCAATGCTCAACCACTGAGCAATGCTCAACCGCCTGCCAAGTCATTTATTCTTTTTAAAGATTAAAAAAAAGACACACAGACAGACAGACAGACACACACACACAGACACACAGACAGACACACACACACACACAGAGACACACAGACACACAC